ACCTGATGTTTGAAAAGTAATCAATAATGTACATTTTGTTATGGTATGCTTTTAGTAGTTGAAATGAAATATTCAAAGTGCATAAGCATATTAAGCCTACCGAAGCCTACTGTTGTGAAAACCATAAGCCTACAACTGAGAAAGACCGTGAGTTCATTTATTTTGGCGTGCAATACATGAGGAAGAATTGACAATTTTGGACAGAAATTGGAATTTTTAAATTTCCAATTTACCAAACATTGCGATAATAAAAATGACAAATATTATTGACAAGATTATAAATGTCATGCAGAATGATATTTTAGCATAAAGTCGTATTCGTCGCTTCACTTTCACTTCCAGAATTTTTGGATCGTAATTTATAGGCGCCTATGAAAACAGCAATATGTGGAAGTGAAAATTTAATAAGGAATGAAATCAAAAATCCAACGACCACATCTCATGTGTTCACTATATTCAGCATAACCGGATGACAACAGGAAATACCCCACCACGCAACCGGATTTATCAATACCAATTTTTCCCCAAATTCAGTGTAACCTTTTAATTTTAAAATTTCATTTCATTATCCCTTCGCCATCTTTCCCTTGCATAATTAATTAGTCCAACTTCAAATTAACCATTTTTAGTTCTTATATCTTTATTCTATCATTATAAAAAAAATGATTCCTGTCGTCATGAACAAGTTTTCGAGTTTCTCATAACAATTCAGTTAAAACAAACTGCCGTCCCCTGTGTCAGGTCATCACCGAAAATATAAGTCGATTCGTTCGGGGGTGGTAAAGGTAATGATGCCGGTATTTCTTTCGCTGTTCGAGTTTCTTGTCGTGTAAAATCAGACTGCGTACGATCAAGTGGGAGAATAGAATCTGTTTGATTAACGCCTAAAATTAGCTTTTATTTAATCTTTTCTGGAAATAAAAAAATGGAATTTATCAAAGCTTATCAGCTTATCAACCGTTCATTTCTGAAGTGATTATGAAGTATCATTATTTCATAATACTACATCGAACATGATAATGAACTAACTATGATTTCTTTGAAATTTATCAACATTAATTAATTTACCAACATTAATAAATTCATCAACATTAATAACAACATTAATCCATAAAGATTGCTTATTGACGGACAAATTCGCTACAGCAAGTATAGTTTGCATTACAGTAACCTGCTATAGTTATTATAATCATACAATCTTTGTATCATAATTTGTTTTATTTATATTGCAATTGTGCACTACACCTGTATTTATCGATGTGTTTTTTTGAATACCATTGTCTGATTTAATTTTTAACTTGCCAGATGGCCTTTTACCTAATTCGCCATCTTCCACTATTGATTCTTCCAAACGTTCTAATGGCTTTGGTATTTTTTTTCCCTGAAAAAGAAGATAACAGTGAAAATTTAGGAGTCATATTGATGACACATATGATAAATTTAAAACTGAAAAAAGATTAAAATACTACTGACTGTTCAGACGAATCAAACCATCGAAATGATCTATAGAAGTAGAAGTAATGTAGAAGATTCCAATAAAAGATGCAGGTAATGCGCAAATAGCGCAATTTTAGCTAATAGAATTCATTTCTCTGTCCAACTATTTTGATATGTTACAAATTTGTGTTCCTTCAAATTTTGGGAAAAACAAAAGGTAATTTCACTTTGCGAATTTTAAGTGATATATTGAGCAAACTGCGAATTTTCGACAAATTACTGCGAGAGCTTTTTTTGGTTGATGGAGTTTCCGGTTCTTTTTTCTTTAAATCATTTCCCTCTTTTACTTTCCTATCTTTACTTCTAAACACTTCACAATTATTAAATACAATTCCAATATTTGGTTTGTTGTTATTTCTGGAAAATTCTCAAAATTTAAGGAAATTGTTTGTTCAAATCATTGAAATTTTGGAAGTTTACAGGATTTAAGATTTTTAAACGATTTACATTTCAGCATTGTTCACGCTGGCGTTACTTGTCGATATATTTGTTTTCGCCAAATTACCGCCATTTCCTATAGATGAAATGATCATTGCTCATTGCTTACTTTTTAAATTAAATTGACAAACAAATCAGCAACATTTGAATTTAAAAATTAAATAAACAAGTGAAAATCTGAGAAGCAAGTGGAACTTTATAATTCTTTAATAGGACTTCTTCCATATTATTTCACTTGTTTTTTCTTTTATAAAAGTTTGAAAGTTTTTGTGGAACTGAAATGAACATATGAGTGTACTTTCCCCGACCAATTTTGTTTTCAGAGATTTTGCAAAAAAAATTTTGAAAGTTTTTTTAATTTCATCTTAGAAACTATTTTTAAGAATAAGCTTGCCAAGGTAAGTTTGCAAAGACAGGAATATATATCTGCCTAGCGATTAACATTTTTATCAATCTCTATCAGAAATTTCTGACGTGATTTGATCCATAATCAGAAGTATGTCAATACTTAATAACATGCTTTTTTGCGTACCAACGTTTAGATATTCGCTATTTGGCATGAAGAGATCGCCTCACATTTACAATAAGTAAACAAAATGATCATTTCGTTTGGTTTTACCTCATTTATATCGCCACATTCAACGATATGTAAATCTGTATGACCCGTGAAGTATCGATGATCTGCTACATATGAATCATGAATTTTGTGAACCTTGCTTGTATCAATTAATTAGCTTTATCAATTAATTAGCTTGATGAATCGGTTGATCAAATCTAACATATTCTATTTTGGTTGTGAAATCATTTGAAAAGCCAATTTAGACGTGATTTACTATTGGAAAAACGTCAAACAAAAGGCAAAATTCAACGTCTGAAAATCAAATAACAGAGATTCGAAGTCAGTCAAATCGGACCCGTCATGGTAACACAGATAATGTGGTTTCTATATTGTGATTGCTTAATTTGTTGGAATGTGCATTTTCGTCGGCGATATTTGTCCAGATGTCCGGTGGAGGAGGGGAGTTTGGTTGTGGAGGAGGGTGATATAGATTGCTAACATTTGCGAAAGATAGTGCTAGTAAGCAAATAGTACTGGACACTTATAGCGCTAGCGATTGAGAGAGTATTCGATGTTAATGGGAAAGTCTGTCGGAATTCTGTCAATTTTTTTGTTTGCTAAATGAAAGTTTACAGTCAAGACTACGGAAAGTTTGTTAATTTGATTAATGTTAGTTGTTAATTTAGACAGTGGAAATTTCGTACTTTTGTGTTTCGATAATAAAAGTGGCTGATTATTTCGCTTTTGATATTAAATGGTCAAAGTTGTGAGGACAGTGATCATCTACCTCAGTTCTAGTATTAAACATCCAAGTTATGAAAACAGTAACCATTTATCGAGCTCTTAGTATTAATTGATCCAACTTGTTCATGTTTTTAATGGTAATGTGTCGTGATCCAACTATTTTTATTGTGGAAAAATGAAAGAGTTTTTAAGGCTTCAAGAGATATAGCAGAACATTGTAAAGTGTAAAATTTGTCTTAGCATCCGGCCATACTCGATCATTAATCATCAGAGCTGATTGATTAAATGATGGACATTTGCTTGTATGCGTCAAGAAGATATCGGATATTACTGTGTTCTTATATGGTTTTTAGGATGAATACTGCGGATGCTCAGGACATTCTTGGCTTAAGCAACAATACAGCAAAGGATGATAGTCTAATTCCAGCAGGTGGCTTAACGGATGTTGATCGAAAGGTTCTATTTTGTTGTTAGGACTTTTTGCTGAGAAAATAAACTCTAGTATTCAGTATCGAAAGAAGTACTCTTTGTATGTTTTTGCGTGTTTCTTTGTTGCCTGAATTCGTATATGTTTAGATTAAGTAAATGCATGGCAGTTAAATAGTTATATTCATAGCTTATTTGTTAGCCGCTTAATTGATAAGTATTACGCTAGACAGTATTACGCTTTCAGCAAAACTACTCACTTCATGATATTTAGATATGGCTTAATGTTTGAGTGTAACTGAATATTAATGTTTAAGTAAATTTACATGGTATTTTTGTAGTCTTCATAAAATAAAATTTATATTCAGCTTAGTACGTTGTATTTTCCATAGATTTTCAAGTTGAAATTGGAAACAGATCTTCGCTAGCTTTCAAAATTTCAACATTCGAGGAAAAATATAAATTTAAGTGCTGGTTGCAGCATAAGAAATCACATCGTAGCGATGCATATTTTAAACGACCAGAAGGTATGCATCGTGAATTATACAACTTATTGGATCGAGAGCGGAACTTTGCCGCTTTAATGCCGACAACTACGAAAAACACCGGTTATTGTCATCAGAAAGCTCGAGTAAGGATTTTCAAGATGAATTCAGTTCTTCAATATTCTTTAGATGAGTGATGAATGTTTTAGTCATCATATTTACTTTGGTCGGCCTGCGCTATGTGGGTTTTTTGGTTTCTTGTTCAATCGGTTAATTTAAATTTTAAGATTGGTATGAGGCGTGTTCGACCGTGGGAATGGACTCCGTTTGAGAATGCTGCTCGTACTGATGGCTTGAAATTAAATCATTGGAAACGTACGGATAAATTGAATGATATTTACCCATTTGCTAGATTCAATAAGGTTTATTGATTTGTCTGGAAATTTATTTTCAAATATTACCATATGGTTTTTATCAGTTTTCTAACACGTAGCCTCCTCTGTTGCCAATTTTCTGAGAATTTTCTGTTCCGTCCACACAAACACCGATCATTTGATTTCTCAGTGTAAAGTGGTAAACCAGCTTGGATTATCTTGTTTTACTAACAATAACAATTGTTTAGGACTGGTTTCGTCAGGATTACTCTGACCGCAAATTAACTATGAAGTTTATTCGTCAGTAATTTAGAGAAATGCTCTCATTTTAATCTAGTTGCCTTTAGTTTGTTTTCTATTGATTTCTTTTCTTTTAGCTTTTATTCTTATTCCTTTTGTTAACGAATATTTTGTTAGAATATTTAGTGCAACATCGCTACAATGCTTAACTCCTGACCAGTTTAACTTTTGAATTATGCGCTCTTCTCCAGTTTATTTTATATTTGTTTGTACAAACGTGATATTCTCCAAAATTAACAATTTAACTACATTTTCATCTTACTGTAAAAATCTAGGTTATCAATGTTCCAACATTCACGGATGCGGAATACGACAAATGTTTAAATTCCGCAAAGTGGAGCAAAAGGGATACTCGCCATTTGTTCGATCTTTGTCGACGTTTTGATTTAAGGTCTGAAACTGAGCTGATTGTGATTAAAATCAGATTTAATAACGTTCTAGTTGAAAGCACTCTGACAATGAATTTTTATCAGTCTTATAATTTTTGCAGGTGGGTAATCATTGTAGACAGGTGGGAAGGTTCAACCCGTCGTACCATGGAAGAGATGAAGGAACGGTTTTATAACGCCATAAATGAATTGAATGCATTGAGAAATGAAAATGTTGATGCACTGTATTATGATGCAGAACATGAAAAGAGACGGAAGGAACAACTGATAAAACAATGGAATCGTACGGAACAACAGGTGTCTTTTCATATACTTGTTTAGAAGATGCGATCCAAAATATCGAGGCTCTGCCTTAAAGGTTTAAGACAAGTTTAAGACATACATTGGAAAATTTACGTGTTTTGCTGGTATCTTTGGATTGATGGAATTTCGATATTGGCATATTTTGGAAGTGTTTTCAGATCGAAGAAGAGGAAATGTTGATTGCTGAATTAAAGAAGATTGAAGTACGTAAACGGGAGCGTGAAAGGAAAGCTCAAGACCTCCAGAAATTAATCACTGCAGGCGAAAGAACACCTGCATCACCATCCACTTCGTAAGTATTATTTATAAAATTCCCTGAATTGCATTTAATTCTGACTATGGGTTGTGCATGTTTGCAAATTTACTTTTTTTTCCATTGCTTCTACATTTATATCAGTTTTCTTTATTCCTTTAGTCTTATCTTATCTTCTTTCTACTTTCTCCAGTTTTGATACTCCTTATTATCATAATCGTTATTCTCGTTGCTGGTTCTGCATGATATTACAGACTAAAACGAGTTTTTTATTTTAGCTTATATAAGATTTTGCTTACTATGTATAATTTCGTTATTCAACGTTGAGGAAATAGGGCGAGAAGATGGGAAGTTGTAAATACGGATCAAAAATAAAATTTTAGACTGATAATCAGTCAAAAATCAATGATTGAGAGCAGCGAAAGAAGTTGGATTAACAGCGTGAACGTTTCTGGTTTATTATATGGAATAGTTTCTTCTTTCAGCACTGCATCTGTTGTTCCCAGCTCCAATATGAAAAAGTCTCACAAATCTCGACTTCTCAAGACTGCATCTATATCAAATCCTTCAATCAGTGCATCATATATACAAGTAACAACTTGTTTATTCATTTATTATTTATTTTTTTTTTGTTTTTGATGAATTTATCATATGAATCTTATTAATGTAAAGGTACAAAACCGGACGAATTGTTATTTTAGGACCATTCGAATTTACGTTTTCCGGAATTCCGAAGTGCTGGTGCACATTTGAGGAGCCAAGAAATGAAATTACCAACTAATATAGGACAGAAAAAGCTAAAAAATATTGAAACTGTAATTGAAAAGCTCAAACTTGGTAAGGCTATCTTCTTGTCTTGCTGTTATTTTAACAGTTAGTTTAGTGATTCTACATACTTAAGTTTGCTTTTTTTCTAAATATCTGCCGTTGTTTTTGAGGAAGATTAGAACCACAGTTTTTTCAGTACCCGATCAAAGCAGTGAAATTTTGTCTAAAACTTTGTTAAAAATTTTTATGTTTTATTCAAAGATTTGGTACCATTCGGAGTGGCAGATATCGTGAAGGGTTACAATGAATTTCGAGCTCGTATTGTGCTCTTGCAAGAATTGAAGCATTCATTGCATTCAGCTGAATTTGAATTGGAGTCACTGAGAACACGTTATAACGCTTTAACTGGAAAAGTTAGTTTACTATTTGTTTTTGTAGCAAATAAGCTTCAGCATAAGAGGTACCATGTAAAAATAAAACTAGGATAGATATTC